TAATACAGGAAGCTCTATAGTTAGTTGCCTAATGATATCAACTACCTACACGTTGGAGTTACCTTGTGAATTTAAAACAATACTGATGTACAGGTTTCATACCCAGATATCCTGATTTCATTGGTCTGGGATATGGCCGGGGGGAGGAGAGGATTTTAAAAATCTCCCCAGATTTTTCTAATGTGTAGTGTAGCCATGATTGAGAACTATTGCTAGCTACTAGCAGTGCTTGGTAGATTTAAGGGGAGGAGAAGGGGGAAAAAGGTAAGAATTTAATAAGGTTGTATGTATGAGATAACCGTGCTTCACTTAGAGCCCCTCCTTGGCTCTTCACAGCTTCTTCCTTTCTGTCTTTATTGCTTACACCTCACAAAAGCCTCTAGCCTCCTTGCCATTCATTTTTCAGCTTTTATCTGATTTTCTTATTCTGAAATGTATGTATTTCTTCTGTTAACATTTCATGGGTTTTGAGGACCAATATATTGTCTTTAATGACATAAAAAATTATCATTTAAAAACTCACTTACCTCTTCAAACATTCTCTTGTAATCTGTCCTGGTAACTTTTTATTTAGGAACTTGTAAAACTGAGATTTATAGATGAATCATGGCTGGGTAAATACCATATTTTAAAAATGAATAGACTATGTTCCTTTTACTTCCTGCAACACCTACCAGAATTGCCACTGGAACATATTCTTTAAGTATATGACTGTTGGAGTTGGAGTAATTTCAGTTACATCCTGTTTTGATTCTTCAACTCCTACAGCTATTCACAATTCAGACTTTCTGAAGTCCTGCTGCTTGTCTTTTATTGTCCCCAGAAGTAAACGTTGGGAAGGACCCCTAAGAGCTCGATTTGGCAGCAGAGGACTTGATGAAGAGAAGAATGACTCTTTGAAGATCCAGCTTTTCTGGCTGTACTATTTTTGCAGCTGTTGATAAATCAAACCGCAGTTTTTGTAACATGAATGTGTTTGCCTTGTTGGCAATGGATATTGATGTAACACACTTTTTTTTTATTGTTCAATGGCTGTGTTTCTTTGTTTCATCTGTCACATTTAGAGGCTTCAGCAGATCATAGTTGCTGTCCCCACTATTTCTGTACTGACCAGTGCAGTCTGGTTAAGTGAACATCAAGAACCAACATAAAGGTGGAAAAAAAGTGAGGCAATATTTTAGAAGGGTTTAAGAGTATAGATGGAAGATTGAAGTGGTGGTATATTTTCTTTTAAAACCAGTTGAGGGTTGTTACCTTTGCTTATTTCAGCTCTAGCTTTCTGAAGATAGGTGAGCCTGGCCTTACAGTAGTGGTGACAGCCCTGCCACTTCACAGAGCAGTCAGTTATTCGAGATTGTTCCTTTAGAAATGGCTCTGGTTTGTACCATTCTTGAAGATTCATGATTATTATTTCTGTTGTTAGAGTGAATAAAAGACCATTAACTTTTTTATTCCCCCATTCGCTTCTCTTATTTTACTTTTCCATCACGATTTATCCCCCCTTTACCCTCTTCCATCTCCACCCCCCTCCCACCTACAATCACCACAGTTGTCTGTGTTCATGAGCTCTTTCTTGCTCAGTCCTCCTCCCCTCCCATTAACTTCTTTTTTAAATATATTTTTATTGCTTTCAGAGAGGGAGAGAGAGATAGAAATATCAATGATGAGAGAGAATCATTGCTTGGCTGCCTTCTGCATGCCCCCCCCCGCCCCCCCCCGGGGATCTAGCCTGCAACCTGGGCATGTGTACTTGACTGGAATCGAACCTGGACAGGAAGGAAGAGGGATAGAGAGCTAGAAACATCCATGAGAGAGAAACATCGATCAGCTGCCTCCTGCACATCCCCCACTGGGGATGTGCCCGCAACCCAGGTACATGCCCTTGACCGGAATCGAACCTGGGACCTTTCAGTCTGCAGGCCGACGCTCTATCCATTGAGCCAAACCGGTTTCGGCCCATTAACTTCTTAAAGTACTAATTAGAGGAGAGCAGTGCTTTTCAACTGTGTTTGTGCATTAGAATCACTTAGGGGAACTTTGAAAATATGAATGTAAGAATTCTCCTTGACATTCTGATTTATTTGGTCCAAAGTAGAGCCTGAGCATTATTATTTTTAAATATTTCCCAGATAATAGTGTGTGGCCATTGTTGAGAACCTCTGGATTCAGGAGACACTCTGTCACTCACTCTGAGATATTTGAGCCTCAGTTCTTTACCTGTGAAGTTAAGAGTAGGTGAATGAGATGATATCTGGAGTCTTTTGGGTTTGAAAACACTGATTTGTGAACCTTTTTCCTGCCTACATTTATTTTTCCTCCAGAACGTTGAAATTCTGATGGAAGAACATTCCTCAGATTCCATTTTCACCCCCTTGTAGTAAGATAGCATGAGATTTACTTCTTCCCACTCCTATGCCTCCTAAGATCTGGATTGCATCTTCCTTTCTGGCCATAACCTGAAAGATGGTGTCCTTGTGAATAGGTTAGTTAATATTCTAAGGATTTTGAACTGTACCTGTCCTATAATTTTTAAACCTTTGGGCAACTTTCATGGTGTTACTTAATTACATAACACAGTATTCTGCTTTAGATCTCTGGTCCTGGGAATTCATCCATTTTGCTCTCTTCTTTTCTAGGAGAAATCTTTGAATTAAAGGCTGAACTCAACAATGAAAAGAAAGAAAAGCGGAAGGAGGCTGTGAAAAAAGTGATTGCTGCTATGACTGTGGGGAAGGATGTCAGGTAAGCTTAGGCACTCCTACCATTGGCCTACTTTAGACCCAGACCCTATTTTATGGCTTTCACTGCTTTTCATTTAAAATTACTATAATCATAGACCCCATAAGAATGGGTTTGTCCCTGAAAACATCATCAGAAAATATAGTTGCTTTTATATTAATTCTGTGACTTAAGTTGGTTTGTTTTATTTTGTCTTGTGTTTTTGGAAGAGGGAAATCAGTTTGATTTTTGTTGCATGCAGATCTAGCATAAACCCTCCTGAGAGCTGGCACAGTTACAAATCTGTTGCTGAGGTAGCTTGAGAAGTTGATAAAAATATACTGAGAAGCAGAAGCACATATGCTCTTTAACTGGCTCAAGCCAGTGCCCTCAACTTTACAACTTTACATTCAGTTCCTGAATTCAAGATAAAAATCAGTGTTAACAAAATCAGTTTTTAAAAATTATTTTGTTTTACTTTCTGTAATTTAACAATACCATTCGGAGATAAGAATGGTCTGCAGGCTTCTCAGGATTCCCAAGAGCCTATCAGGGGGTCCATGAGGTCAAAGCTATTCTTACAATAATACTTAGGTGTTATTAGTCTTTTTTCATTGTGTTAATATTTGCACTGCTGGCGTGGTAGCATGAATCAAGGCATTGGTGCCAAACTGTAACAGTAGTCATTGTATTCTTCACCACCATGTACTTGCAGGGAATAAATGCAGTTTTACTTAGGATTTTTTGTGAAGCATTCAAATTTTATTAAACCTTTAAATCTTTTTAATATTCTGTATGATGAAATAGGAATTATGCATAAAGCACTTCTGTATAGCAGAGTGATAGTTGAATTGACCAATACTATAATTTGTTTAATAATTCATTTCTGTAATAATAATTATCACTGTGGGAACATTTGTCCTTACATCAAATTACTTGTAAAATGAGGCTAATTTTTTTCATGTTTTATTTAACAGATTGGCTCCGTCTGTTCACCTTTCCTTTCTCTATTCTACTCTCTTTTCAGCTCTCTCTTTCCAGATGTAGTGAACTGTATGCAGACTGACAACCTGGAACTAAAGAAGCTGGTGTATCTCTACTTGATGAACTATGCCAAGAGTCAGCCAGACATGGCCATTATGGCTGTCAACAGCTTTGTGAAGGTAACTTAAAGGACTCAAGAGCAGTCTCTTCTACGTTAAGTAACCTCTTCAGAAGTATCTCTTGATATTTAGTGTCTGCAGATAGATAGGTCTGCATTGCAAATAAACAACTTCTGTTCCAGAAGAGAGCCTCTAGAGAAGTACTGGCAGTGACTAGGAATGTTCATGTTTTAGGCATTCTGTATGCCAACGTTTGTCATCCAATTCAGACCATATGGTGAGCCTTCTGTTAGCTGGGCTTGGTACATCCTTGTCAGATGGGAGAAGAAAACCAGGTGGAACCTCAGTGTTTTGTGAACTGACAAAGGCTTTCAAGGCTGACATAGGGTGGGCATATTATTGTAGTATCAGTAACCTGTTTTATCTTTGTAGAAATTACGCTTACAGGTCATAAGTAGTGGAAACCACAGGAGGTACTACTATTTTGTTTATTTATTTTATTTTTCTAAAATGTATTTTTTATTGATTTCAGAGAGGAAGGGAGAGAGGGGTGGGAAAGAGAAAGAAACATCAGTGATGAGAGAGAATCATTGATCGGCTGCCTCCTGCACACCCCCTACTGGGGATCAAGTCTGCAACCTGGGCATGTGCCCTTGACCGAAATCGAACCAGGGACCTTTCAGTCTGCAGGCCGAGGCTCTATCCACTGAGCCAGACCAGCTAGGGCTAGTTTACATTTTTGAAATTAGCACACAAATAGGTTTATAATGTTTAAAGAAATTTTTTAAAGTGGGGCAATTTAAGGAATGTTCCTTACTGAGTGTTTTATTTGTACTGTATTTGGAAGAGCACTTGCTAATAAAGGAGAATGTATGTTAATTATGTCAGAGGGCCTTCTGCAGCTTAACCCAGGAACTTACTTTAGCATGGCCCACGCCAGCTTCTGTACTCTGCTTTCTTGGTGGTAGGCCAAGCTCCTTTTTCTCCCTACTTGCTATTTGCAAACTGACTGTGGAATGGGACTCATCTTTCCAATTCCTCATTTTCTCCTCCCTCCCTCCACCAGAATACAAGCCAAAAGGCCTCTTATTTTTAGGGCTGGTTCACAAATAACTCCAGCTCACTAGGCTTTTGCTTAGCCCTCAACTACTCCTGGGCATTTCTTCATTGTGTATATGAAACAGTTAAATGAATTGCTGGCCTAGATTCTTATAGGCAACTAAGATTTGTACTTAGGAAAGGAAAGGAATAGCATGGGAGATTTGGATTCTGATGTAGAGTAACTGGAAGCTTGCATTAACCCCTTCCCCAACATGGCTTATGTTAAAAACGTTTCTTTTTCAGACTAATTTTTTTATTTTGGTTCTATATAGTATTTTTGATGCTGGTGTTAATGAACATTCTTTTATGGCTTATACAAACTAGACTGTTTACTTTCAGTCACCATGTATACCTACAGTTGTTAAGGATTGTCTGTTATAGGACTGTGAAGATCCCAATCCTCTGATTCGGGCCTTGGCAGTTAGAACCATGGGATGCATCCGAGTGGACAAGATCACAGAATATCTCTGTGAGCCCCTCCGAAAGTGCTTGAAGGATGAAGATCCCTATGTTCGGAAAACAGCAGCAGTCTGCGTGGCAAAACTCCATGATATCAATGCCCAAATGGTGGAAGATCAGGGATTTCTGGATTCTCTGCGGGATCTCATAGCAGATTCAAATCCAATGGTAATAAACTGCTTTTATAAAAGAGCAGTATTTAAAATTAGTTACTTTAAAAAGTATGTTTAAAACAGATCTTACCTTTGGGACATTGAACCATAGGTTAGCTGTGGGGAGCATAACTTCTGTGTGTCCCACAGATTTGTCTATCTCACACCCTTGGTGTTTCTGAGGTGAAAACCAAGTACTTAAAATACAAGGGTCTTAAAGCAAACCTTTGTATCATACTTACCCCTGTATATGTTTAGAACAGTGATTTTCAACTGGTATGCTACAAGAATTTTTACAACATGCAGTAGCTGACTATTTTGTCAGAGCACTGACCTCTTTTCCTTTAGATTGTCAAATAAAAATAAATGATAATAGCTAACACAACAGTAGCTGTCCATTGTGAATGAATCCACAATTATACCTTTATTTTATTTTTTTATCAGATTGGCAAAAAATATATTTTTTGGTGTGCCACAGAATTTAGATGATTAGTTTATGTGTGTCATGATATGAAAAGGGTTGAAAATTGCTGGCCTAGAAACCAGTCCTTTCATCATTTTCTTGAGGTTTTACATTAAATTTATATCAAATATTTAAAGATTATTTCTTCAGATAGATGTTTATGGTATTTTGTGGTGGTGTGGGAATAGAAACAAAGTTATCTTTATTGCCTAATTATTATAATGCATTCTTCTATAGGAGAAATCCAGGACAAGATTCTTTAAAATATGTGGGTTTTTTTGTTTTTTTTTAATTGAACTGAGGAAGGAAGAGGGAGAGATAGGAACATCAATGATGAGAGAGAATCATTGATCGGCTGCCTCCTGCATGCCACACTGGGGATCAAGCCTACAACCCAGGCGTGTGTCCTGACCGAGAATTGAACCGTGACCTCTTGGTTTATAGGTTGGCACTAAACCACTGAGCCATGCCGGCTGGGCGACAAGATTCTTTTTAGCCAACTTGATTATGTTCTTTTTTTTTTAATCTTTATTGTTGAAAGTATTACATATGTCCTCCTTCCATCCCCCTCCCCCCTTCCCCATCGAATCCATCTAGTCCGTCCCCTGCCCCAGGCCTTCACCACCCTATTGCCTGTGCATATATAAGCCATGATTATGTTTTACATGTTTGGCAGCCAGAATGTAACTTAACACCTTAAAAGTTTGTGGACCTTTTATTTTTCTTATTGACATTTTAAACTTTGCCTATATAATGGGGAGCTAAGTCTCAAGTAGTACGTTGACTCTGCTAGTGACTGAAGCTCGTTTGTATTATTTCTAAATATCAGTACAAGATGATGAAAGAATATAGCCATTTTCTCTTCCCTTTTTGCCTAATGCAGTATTTACTAGGAGGTGAGTAACATTATGAGTTAATCAATAGATAACCTCCGAACATATTTTTTTAACTTTTTGAAATAGAGAGTTGGAATTTGCCTTGAAATAGACATTGTTTCTCATTTGCAAATTACCTGCTCAGATTTTTGTTTTGACATTTCATATGATTTATCTTATTCTTTGAGTAGCCTTGGCTTCTGCTCATTGTCCATTAAATTTAGTATCAAAGTCAAAGGGTGAAGCAATCACATTTTTTAAAAGTACTGTGGTACTGCGATCAGGAATCTTTCAACCACCGCCTAGGCATGGAAGTGGGTGTGGGTGTGTATGTGCTTAAATTATGACTTCTGCTAGGGTATCACCACCAGTATTAGAATTCTGATTCAACCCTGCCTTTTTTCCCTTCAAGCAATACCATGTGTTACTTTTTTAAAAATTCCACAAAGAAATAAATTTATAAGGCAGTAGTATCTGTTTTATAAAATGTTTAGCTGGTACCAAGTTGTGGTTTTGACACTGCTTTTGATTCACCCTGAGCAACCATTTGAAATTTTCTACCTGAGGACAAATGAGAAGATTTGGGCATCTAGATGAGCATGATATCATGTACCCTGTGGAAAGCTGTTAAATGTCCAGTGGGGCTAGAATGTGGAGCAGGCCCTGGCTGGTGTTTCTCATTGGTTAGAGCACTGGCCTGTGCACCAGAAGGTCTTGGGTCAATTCCTGGTCAAGGGCATGTTCCTGGGTTTCAGGTTTAATACCAGGTCCTGGTGGGTTGGGGTGCTTGAAAGAGGCAACCAGTCGTCGTGACTCTCACATTGATATTTCTGTCTCTCTTCCCCCTACCTACCTTCCACTGTCCCTAAATATCAGTGGAAAAATACCCTTAGGTGAGGATTAATTTTTTAAAAAGGTAGTTTTGTTCCACTTTTTTTTCAGAAGTTGCTCCACATGGGGGCAGCACTGTACCAACAAATATTAGAATCTTATACAAAAGAAATGAATGCTTCTAGGGCAGTGGTTCTCAACCTTCCTAATGCCACGACCCTTTAATACAGTTCCTCATGTTGTGGTGACCCCCAACCATAAAATTATTTTCGTTGCTACTTCATAACTGTAATTTTGCTACTGTTATGAATCGTAATGTAAATATCTGATATGCAGAATGTATTTTCATTGTTACAAATTGAACATAATTAAAGCATAGTGATTAATCACAAAAACAATATGTAATTATATATGTGTTTTCCGATGGTTTTAGGCGACCCCTGTGAAAGGGTCATTCGACCCCCAAAGGGGTCGCGACCCACAGGTTGAGAACCACTGTTCTAGGGGGTTCTGCCTTGGTAGTTTTCTTGTAGCTCACTTCAGAAGGGCATCCTAGATGCCATAGCATTAGAACATCTGCAGAAATGACTTTGAAATCTTAAGTGTAAAATGTTAATCAAGATGTGACTACTCTTGGGGTTATGTCGATCGCCAGGCTGGTTCCTAAGGGTGTAGTGTACGCGGTTACAAGTAATAGAATTTTATTATTTTTTCATTCTGTTTTGGATGATCACACATACCTTATTTTCCTGCAGCTGTTTTATCATTTATACTTTAAAGCTGACTTTTAGTGAAGTGCAATTTGAAAGAAAAAAGACAGACTTTGAAATAAAAATTTTCACTCTGTTAAGTCCTGGCTTAACTTCCTTAAGCCTCATTTCCTTTCTGTACAGTTGAGGGCTACCATCTTAGATAGTTTCGGGACGTATTAATTGAGCTGTTGCATAAAAAGCGCCTACTAAAGGACCTAGCTTATGGGAGCACATGAGAGGAGCACTGCTGCTACTGTTACCTAATGGCAAAGGTTAAAATTATTGCTACAGTATTAATTTAAAGATTTTATTCGATATTTTGAAAGTAAACCCAAAATGAAGAAACACTTTATAGCGCAGGAAGATAACTCACATGATGTTAGAATTTAAAATATTTTCTCTCACTAAGTTTATATTTGCAAGAAAAATGTACTCTGGAGTGATGGTGATATTTCTCTAGTTGTTTGCCCATACGTTAGGGTTTTCTCTCTTTACTATGGTTCCTCATTTCTCTCGGAGAGACATCTTGAAGTATTCCAACTTATCGTATTTATGCTAGACTCTGCCAGCCCAGAGGCTTGACAGTTCCACCACAGGTGCTTTGCTTTTTGTTTGTGAGTTCAGTTCTCCTGAGTCCCTATGGCCTCGGGACTTCTCCCCTTTTGTCTTCTAAACCTTCTCAGTTCTGCTTCCATCACTGTGAGAGCTGCCCACAAACTGACATAGTAAAAAAAGACATATTTTCACTTGTTGAACAAGTAACATCTCGCTCTGTTCTTTAACATGTCACTTGAGACAATTCCCTAAAGGAGAAAGTGAGGTCCCAAACTGTTGCTGATATTTAGGAGGATAAAAATATGTAAGCCATAGGATGAAACTGTATATTTCATTCTAATAGTTTTGGTCAATTCTGCTTTCATTATATTCAGGTCTTCAGGGACACCAACCAAAAGGAGTATACATTGAACGGGAAAACTGAAGCATTAATCTGTTCAGAGTGTGTACACTTGAATGTCACTGCCAGAAATGAAAATCCTCTTAAAGTCTAAGTAGTAATTTAGTTAATAGGAGGAAGTCACTGTACTGGAATGTGATGTCTTTCCTGGGTTCTGGGACTATGAAAAGAGTGAAACTAGAATGCAGGATGAAAATCAGAGACAAGGGAATGTGAGAGATTTCTCATAAAGGAGCTTCTATCTGTGATATTCCACTCCTGGTGTGTATATCTAGATTTCCTCTAGAGTTTTTTATACAGGATCATTTTTATTCTAACCATATCTACCACTTCAGCTTGCTCCTTTTTGAAAATATGAGGCCAAATTTATGTCCTCAGAATTTCTGCATTAAGATAGAGTTAGCTTATAAATAAGATTTTATAGCTAGACTAGGGGCCTAGTGTATGAATTCGTGCACATTGAAAGGAACTGTGGGCCGTGAGGCTGAGGTGGGCACAGGGGCGGGTCTTGGCCCCTCCTCCGCACCCCACTCAGTCCCTCCCACCACGGCCCCTGGTCCTCTGTCTGTCATCAGCCCCGCTCCTACCGCCCCCACTCCCATTCGCTAACTGCAGCAGCCCCGCTTGCACCCACTGATGGTGGGCGCGAGTGGGGCCATCGCTGGCAGAGGGAGCGAGAGGTGGCTGCTGGCCCCGATGGCCTCTCAGGAGCATGGAGAGGTGGAGAAGCCCTGAGGAGTGCGATCAGGGCCGGCAGCTGGCACCAGGCACCAGCAGAGGGTGCGAGTGGGGCCTTCAGCACTGGTAGTGGGTGAGAGAGGGGCCGGCACCGGCAGCAGGGGCAAGCGCCGGGCAGGACTGCAGGTCTCGGGAGCAAGGAATTTTCAGTAACCACCAGAGGCTTGTCCCAGTGATAGCGACTGGCGCCCTGCCTTGGTCTGGTGCCCCGCTCACCTGCCCCGCTATCTCGCCGCAGCTGACGCCCGCCATGTTCCACACATGCCCCCTGGTGGTCAGTGCACATGATAGTGACTGGCTGGTTGTTCTACTGTTCGGTCTGTTTGCATATTAGGGTTTTATATAGAGAGATAGTAAGTCTTGCTTCTGAGTGCTATCAGGATTTGATTATTTCTGAAATAC